AGGTTCCAGAGTGACTATAAATAGAGCTGATTATTGTCTGTGTGTCTATGATACTGCTTTGTGACCCAAGAGAAACAAAAACAGTTAAGCACCATAGGAGAGGAAACTCACTTGGAGCCTGCATGCATCCCCAAAGTCACCAAAACAGCCGTTCCGGGCTCCCCAGAGAAAGTCTTCTCTGATGAAGAGAAAAATCAATGTGGAAAAAGTCTAACAGGGAAGAGAACAGACCTAACCTTTGGCTGTTGATCCTGTTTGTGGGTTACATGCACATTAGACTTAGAAGAAACCTTGTGAAGTTATCTTCCTGGGTGGCCTCCTCTTCTGCTTTACACAGAGCCCACAACTCATGCATATTTTTCCACTTTGAAAGATTCCATGAGGATGATTCTGTGATCTCCCTTGGCAATTCTCTTTTCCAGGAAACCAGGGCTCACTTTAAGTCCCAGACTTCTGAGACCCTCTCTCCAATAAATGCAATCAATATACTTCACCTCCCAATAACCCACAACAAGGAACTTTACTTTTTATGGCATGCGATTAGATAATTTAACAATTGTTGGTAAGCATTGCTGTTTTTATTATGAGGACTAACTGCTTCGATGTGGAGTCACAGCCCTGCAGAAAGATTTTAAATCCTCTGCTGGCCCAAATAGCCCGGGGCTCAACACAATGAAATCCACAGTTACATTCTGAATAAAACCATCATCATGCAGTTCTTCTCTTATCTAATTGAAGCTCTCCTGACTTGATCTGGGAGGAAGCTGGGGATTCTGTCCTCACAATCTAGAGGAGGAGGGCACATGCTTTTGGTATGCATGCTTGGCAGCCTGGATGACTGTCACAAGAAATCACTTTCCACAGCCTCCTCCACTCCCACACAATCCTTTAATGTCTTTCCATATTGAATTAGTCCAATGAAAACTCCTAGTTCAGTGACTCTTACTCAGTTCCTTCATGTTTCCCTTGACCTTGGAAGCCAGGAACTTGAGCGGACACTGCAGCCATGTTGAGAATGTCCCCTCACACAGCCCCACCCCACAGGTAGCACCCGCTGATTCCCAGCATCTGGCTGTAGCAAACTGGAGGCAGTTGGTTGCCAATCACTTCTCCAAATCAAATGTCTACAAGATTTTTCCAAACTCTCAGGAAATGCTCCCATTGACACAAGTATTGAACATGAGAGCAACTGAGCATACTTTTTAAATTATTTCTTAAAAAGTCTTTTTTTGAAAAGAAGCATCAGCTCTGACAGAAGTCCTTTCATGTTAACTTCTTAGCGAAAACAATGATAAATAACTGGTCCAGAACAGAACTTTCCAGTCCAGTAGATAAGTTGTGATAGCTACATTATTAAATATTTAAAACATTTTTACCTGAGAAGACATAATGAACATATATGATGTCTATGTCTACCAAGTGCCAAGGAAGTGTACCTACCTTTTCATATCAAAATCAAAATACCTACTGAAGTTGCCATCTGGACCAATCCTTAGTGGGAACAAGATGTTCTGCTCATGAGAAGAGCTGATGCTGAGGAAAGCCCTCTAACAAAAAGTGTACACCAGCCCCCAACTAAATGAAGGCAAGAAAAGATACATGTTTGGCTATTGGGATGCACTGACTCAGTTTCCTCTACATGCCAGGCTTTTCTGCATTTAAATTGCTCCCCCCCAAAAAGCTTTCTTTCTTTACAAATTCCAAGTAGTTTCACAAACTTGTCCTTTTTAAGGTATCGGGAAATTGCTTCTGTTTTTCATTGGAAAGAGAGGCAAAGCTTAAATGATTTTTTTCTTTTTTTAGCCATGATTGTGAGAGGCAAATATTAAATGTTTACAATATACTAGCTTCTGTGCTGGTATTTCCCTAATGTCTTCTTTAAAATAAAAACAAAAAAAACCTATGAGGTAGGTATTATTTTCATTTACCACTTGAAGAAACAGGGACACAGGCTGACTCATTTTCTTAAGGCCACACAGTTAGCTGAGTTTCGTCCAAACCCAGGCTCAGACCGCAGCTTGTGCCAACCTCTCCGAGTCATGTTCGAGTAGTTTCATTCCTCCCATCTGTAAAGATTTTCCAGAATTCCACAAGTGTAAAAGGAGGGCAGCTACTCAGCCTGAAATGTTTTCCACTTACTAGTTACTCTTCTGAGGTACATGCTGGCAGTTGCTACAGGTATCCAGGTACTTACCTCTAATCTGTCCAAGAACATGCTGTGTGTTTTGTTTTTTTTATAGTTTAGTTTAGTTTTTTTCTTTGGAACTACTGAATTAAAAAAAATACTTTAGCCATCTCAGGATTATATTTCAGTTACTTTTATTGAGGACTAGATCGAATGGAATATTCTTTAGCCACAGTTTCTTCAAAGGTAAGACAAAAATATTACAAGTATTTTCTAGTCCTGCTCTATATCAGTAAAATCTTTTTTTTTTTAACTTGGTATTATGTCACCTACAAATCATGCTTCCTGCTCACTTTTTCAATCTCACTGTGTGACATCCTGTCCTGCAAAGGTACAGCCAGACGTGGGGGAAAGTAGATAGCAGTGAGCCATTAATGTAATCAATTTGGTGGCTGTCAGACAAGCACTGTCAGTGGCCCAGTGGGAGTTTTCCCTTAAATAACACTTTACTTGCAAAGAGTTTTGGTTCTCAGAGAAGAACATTTAGTAAAGCTAGGAGGTGAAGCACAGTGGTTGATCAAGACTATGATTGACTAATAACAATGATTTGTAAAATACTGTGAAAGCTACAAGTTACGAAGGCAGAGGCTGTGTTTCAGCCTCACTGTGGCACCTGGTCCTACAGAGAATAGCAACAACTGAGGTCAATCAATCCTGCCTTTGAAGGAAGAGCAGGCCGGATGGTGCCCAAAGTACATGGCAGTGCAGCACTACCCGGGTCCTTCTTGCCATCACCATGAAGATTCTTTCCAAATTGTGTGCAGGTGGAATGCCAAGTAAAATAGATGCAAAGTGATTCCAAATTCTTCTGTTATGAAAGGCAAGAGCTCCCCTCCCAGTTGTGCAGTCTCAGCAAAAACAGGGCCCAAAAACAAACGTGCGTCACACTGGGAGCCAAGGAAGGAGACAGAAGTGAGAGCAGGTGCCAGGCTGCCTGGTGAATGGCCCATTCAAAAAATCAACAATAGTGAGCGGGGCAGGAGCACAAGAGCCACCACCATGACTGGTGAACCCAGCACTTGTGAATTCAGTGTAAAGTCCTGCCATGAAAGAAGGCACATATAAAGCAGAGTCCCATAAACCTAGCATATTATTCACCCTCACCATATTCATTAAAAAGCATTCTCTTCAGGAAAAGCCATGGAGAGAACTATGAATTCAACAAACCCGGCGCGTCTTCAGTTTCAGATGTCCCTGTGAGGTATTATTTATTAGCTCGATAAAATAGACAAAACAGCCTTTTCACTGCAGAATCAGCTAATTATCTTTCATAACTCTTTTGAAAAGCAAATGTAGATATAAAAGCATGAGTGAAAAACATGTTCAATGCATTGTGTCTGACTCTGCCAAGAAAATAAGGGAGTTTAAGTGCACAAAACTAAGAGATCTTACTAAACCAGAATCTGAAATTAATGTAAAAATATTCAGCCTCATATTTTAATGTCTCTTGTCATTAGCACTTCATATTTATACCCTACGTTTTAAGGAATATGACGCTGCCCATTCAAATGCACACGCCTCCTGCCTGGCGGGGAGCAAGTATCCCTTCCCCTGAAAATGCTGCACGTTCCTGTAAAGCTGCTATAAACAGACTACTCGAAAGCAGATCAAACGCACATGGATACTGTCCCCACAACACCAAGTCACCTTCAAGATGGGGCAGCAGGAAATGAAGAACAGGTGATACTTGGTCACAGAGGACACAAGGGAGGCAGGACAGCACAGATCAGGAAAACATGAGGGAGGACCTAGCGCTGCCTGTCCAATGCATGCTGATTTTTTTCATATGTAAATTTTTAAGTGAATGCTGCTTTTTGTTACTGCAGAAAGGGAAGCATCACATGGCTGCTCTGCTTCCCTTTAAATACAGGCACATAAAGGGACTAAGGATGTGAAAAGCCAACTGTTTGTGCCATGACTTCATCAGTCGCACTCAGTTCTACTTGAGGACACAGTTACTCTGCAAAGCCCACTCAGCAGTTCATGGATATCATGTTGGAGAAGCACTTTGAGGTCTACCAGGGAGAGGCAGGGCAAAAACCCAAAGGAGCATGGTTTTGTTACTTATTCCCAGTAACTGAAGTGTTAGCTATAAAACCTTCATGACCTAAAAAAAAATATGAATTGATTTTGCTCATTCGGATTCCTCCACTGAAAGCACTTCTTTCAAAAGTTAGAATTAGAAATCATTGTAGAGTTATCCTGCGCCCTTGTCTGGTCTTGTCAGGATAACCATTCCACACTGTAAGGATTAAATATGTTCCTCAAATTTTACAGCCTACGTTTACAATCTGCCAGAATGAAGAGATGAGGAGGAGTTATGTGTTTTTGACTGTACACATCCATCACTAGCTATCACTCTTCCCACAGACAGCAGAAAGTCAACAATGAAACAGAAAAGCTAAAAATAAGTGACTGAGCCATTGCTTGGGGGAGCTGCACAGGGAGGAATGTCACACATACATGCACTCCTTCCCTTTTCTTTTTATTACCCCCATTTAAAGTAATTGAAATGATGGACTCAGCTCTAACAAAAAGAAAAGCATCATGCATTGCACAAATAAGTAAAAGTCAGTTAAAAGTAGGATTCCATGCTTATAGCCATGTAAAACCAGTGTTCTCAATGCACGAGCTTGGAATGGAAGTAGTGGTTGATCAATATCCCTATGAGAAATGACAATTAGAGGCACTTCCAATGCTCAAAGTAGAAGGTAGTGTCATTCCATACAAGCTGAAAATATTTCTTCATTCACAGGTATTATAATATGTTTACTTCTAAGAGTCAATCAAATCAATATTTATTAAAGACCCACTCTATATGATATATTACACTCTACTGATGGAAAAATATTGCATAAAAAGAGTATGGTTCACATGCAGGAATACATTCAAAATATGAGCCTCATTGACATTCAATATAGAAAAAGTATCTCAAAGAACACTAGATTCAGAAAAATCAATAAACCCATGACATAAATAGGCTTTTTGGTTTTCTTCTCATTCTGTAATAATTTAAGAAAAACAGCATAAAAACCTTAAAAGTTACAAGTTCAAAATCTTACATATTCAAAAGGAGACAGCAGTCTTTCAACAGTAGTTTTTGAATTCCATTTTAGCTTCAAAAAGATTCATCTAAACAAATCTCATAGGAAATCACAACATATAAGTGAGACAAACAAAGAGGTATTTAATTAATGCAAATTTGTTTTGTAAGTGCAAATTTATAGCATTATTTGTTAGGTAAGTGAGTGCATTTTCTGATAAAGAGAAAAAATGGACTAGGGTATTATTAATGGCATTCACATTCTTCTATGCGCCTGGGCAGCTGATTCATTTTAGTATTTCAGAATTTTTTGCACACATTAAGAAAAGTCTGATTCACACATGTAAATGGTTGCAAATAGTAACATTCAAAAGCTCCCTGAAAATCTCAGGGTACTCTCCAAGTGAATAGAGACAGCAGGAGTAGCTTCATTCCATATGAACCAAAACTCCATTACTTATTAACACAAACTCATCACTGCTCACAACTATGATAACATTTCTATAGACTATACTTGACTATGTATGCAGGTTGTTTTTAATTACAATAACTAAACCCAAAAGTTACTTTTGTGAAACCTAAGATATCCCCTAGAATCTCTTAGGGGCTAGTAGTCTCCAATGCCTACCTGAAAACCTGACTTTAAAAAGTATCTGCTGAGTCAGCATCAGCAGTTGACCCCATAAGCCAGCAGGGCAGATGTAGATTACAAATACCTTTAGCACACCTATGACTCCAGCAAGGCATGCCATCTGCAGATCTGCTGACCTTTAGTCTCCTTCATTTCCTCCCAGTGGTCTTGTTCCTCCTCTCCACTACTGTTTTGGCCAAGAGCAATCCAACCAATCATCTCTTTACGCTTCATAGTACGCCTGTTATAAATGGAAATCATCAATGTGACATCAGAGAGCTGGAAGAGGGCCACCTGGAAAACGAAGGTCTCCTTGTAAACAGGATTGGGCTGAGCACGTCGAATGGATGTCTTGCAGCGGGACATCTCCTGACCCACAGAATTGAGGAGAAAGAGTTTTCCATACGTATCTAAGAAGGAAAAAATAAAAGTGTAAATGAGAAAATATTGATGCTTTCTGTTTTGCTATATTTATATGGGCATACCTTCCCCCAACCCCCATTTAGCATACCACTTAGGTCTGTACTTGCTGTAGGACTAACACATCTTATCTGAATTATTAAGGAAAAGGATTATTACCTTGATGCTAAATGGTTCATGTGGCTTCCTACTGAGACTCTTGATGACATTCATTAGAAATTCAACATGGGCCGAGGTCCACATGTACAAGCATATGTGCAATGGTGTTTGTGGACACGTACAGTTCTCATCCCTATCTAATTTACATAACAAAATAAACATACACATTTTGCTCTACATTAGTTTCATTGCTTCAAGTTTCTGTTTATCCCTAGGTGAGTCTTCTCACCCCCAATATATTTTATGGACCATGTCAACTACTCAAAGATAACGACCAAGTCTGGCTTCAAAACAGCTACTATATCTATATCTCTGCCTAAACTTCTCTCACAAGGTCAAGATCTAACTGAACACCATATTTCTTTGCTCCACACCCATCTCACTCTCCATATGTTTCAAACTCTTTAAAACTTGCTGCTCTGGTATGTCCCCTCTATGAATGGTAGAACTACCCACTCAATCATCCAAATCATAAATCCAAACTATATTTTTGTTAAGACTGGCTTTCTCACCAAGTCCTACGATTCAATCACCAAGTTCTGTTGATTCTAATTTCTAAATATCTTCCCAAATATCTATTTACCTGCTGCTTTCCATTTCCAATGCACTTGACTCTCAGTGCATCATCAAAAACATCTCTCCCTTGCATCACTGTGACTTTCCTCTTCAGCCACTAGATTTCCTGACTCTCATCAGAGGGACCTTTTGACATATAGTCCTAGTCATGTCACTCAACCTAATTTAAAAAATAAAGTCTTCAGTATTTGCCACTAGTCTCAGGATAAAAACTAAATTATTCAGTATAGACAACAAACTCTGACCCTGTTTATTTCCAACCCTCATTGGGCGCCACCTTTGCCTTAAGGCATTGCACTCCATTACCCTCTGTGAATTGCCTTTATCCCTTCAATGCATCCTTCCTCTCTCTCCCTTTCACTTCTGCACAAGATATACAGGCCCTGCTATCCCAAATGATATCAACGGTCTCAGGGCTTCTATACATCAATTCAGTTTGGATACCACCTTATCTAGGAATCTTGCTTTTCCATTTCTTCCTCCCACTGTTCTGGCTTAGAGAACCTGTTCTGTGGATTCCATCAGAACTAAGTTTTAGACTGTCTTGCACTTCACATCCATTATTATCCGTGCTGGTTCACTTGTCTGTAAACTGTTAGGTCCTCAGAAAAAAAAGGAGGTGGGGAGACTTCCTTCTTTGCCATTGTACCTCTGATGTCTGATAGTGTCTAACATAACAGATATTCACTAAAAGCAAATATTTGTGATAAATGCTCCTGACTAGTCAGGAAGTTCAACTCACTTTTTCTTTTGGTCTCAAGTTTGCAAACTTACAAGCCAAACCCCTCATTTTAGAATGCCTGCACTGAAATGCTATAATATGATGACTAACATTATATGTTTATTCATTTATAGAGAGGCAGAGCCTACTGCTTTACTAAAATTCATGAATGGATCATTACCAAAATAATCTCACGAGACAATTATATTTTTATTAAAATTGCTATTAAAATCTTAACTTTCAACTGTAGTAACCTTTAACTAATAGGTGTTCAATTCTTTCTTAAAAATCCAAACTTTCTAAAAATCCAAACTTAGAGTGTTTTTCAAATTCTGTCATCCTGTACATTCTGTTTAATACAGGCTGAAATCTGGTTTAGTGTGTTTACTGCTCACTTTCTCACCTAACAACCAGTCAAACTTTTAAAAGTGTAAACCTAGATCTCTGTAATTTACTGTTCTCTGCAAGAGCACTGTAAGATAGGAAACAAATTACAACCTGCAGTTTTCTTTCAATGTTGATCTTTTTCTATTCCTGTTTGATGTGTTATTTTATGCACTTATCTGCTGAGAAACACAAGGTGTGAAATTACACTTCAGGTGTGAAAACACTTCTCTGTCTCAGAAACAGGACTCTCCACTCTCCAAACTGCTCTACGGAAAAAGCTGTCAGAAAACCGACAATGGGGGAGTAAATTTGTGTTTCCACAGCTGTACAGTTACATGATTCCTGTAGGAAAAGTACAACAGTCACCAAACTGTCCTAGCAATCCGGCTGCCAGTTATGGCAATGGGAGTTGAGTTAATCTTGCAAACAGAAACCTGCTGATGTCAAAGAGAGCAATTTCAAGCTTTATCCTGATACAAGGTCATTTTCTAATTACAAGAAAGTCCACTTACTATCAAATCTTGTCTACTGAAGTTGAATTGTACATACACGACCAAAACAATACAGTGTGAGGCTACCTTACTAAAGAAGGAAAATTTTGCTAATTATTCCAGCTCAAAGGGAATCTTTTATCAGCAGTAATAAGTAGCTTACTTTTATATGTTCTGAGCAGAGACTGTGCTCCAGAAATTCTATTTGTGTAGAACGGTGGAGAATCTTTGGGATTCAGTGATATATTGATAAGGCAGGACAGACAAAGAATTAAGTAAATAAACAGTTAAGTAAATATCCAACTTATTTTTTTTTCTATTTTAACTTTTAGGAATTGACAATATTCAGTAAAAAACAAGAGAGAGACAATGTGATGGAAAACCTAAAAGAATCTACTGAAAAACTTACTGAAATATTGACTCAGAGAAAACTAGAAGACATTGTTAAAGAAATAGAAGAATCACAAAGAACTGGAAAGATATTCCCTTCTCATGGATCAGAGCATATTAACATTGTTAAAATAGCCATCATACCCAAACCAATGTATAGATTAAATGCAGTCCCTATCAAAGTTTCAGTAGCAGTCTTCAAGATATAGGACAAGCATTACTGAAAGTCATCTGGAAACATAAAAGACCTTCAATAGTCAAAGCAATCCAGACAAAAAGAAAGAATGGTGATACCACACACCAGATTTCAATCTGTACTATGAAACTATAATAACCAAAAAAATATGTTACAGGAATAAAAAATAGACATACAAATGAAATAGAATTGAAAACCTAGAAATGAACCCACATGTAGATGGAAAGTTGCTCTACAGCAAAGCCACACATTAGAGAAAGAACAGGCTCTTCAGTAAATGGTAGGGAAAACTGGATAGTCACATGCAAAAATAACAAAACTAGACCACTATCTCATAAAATACACAAAAATTAACTCAATATAGATAAAGGTATTGGACATAAGACTTACAAAAATAAAATACACAGAAGAAAACATAGGCAAAACACTCTATGACATAGGCTCCAGTGATCTCGTTGTGGGTTCATCCCCAATAGCAAGAAAAACAAAAGAAAATATAAACAATTGAGCCATGTCAAACTCAAACACCTCCACACAGTAAAAGAAACTGTCACTAAAACAAAAAGACAACCTACTGAATGGGAGAAAATATTTACATACCATACATCTGGCAAGAGGCTACAAGGACTACTACAACGTAAAAGGAAAATAACCCAATCAAAGATGAGCTAAAGAGCTAAATAGGCACTTCACATAAAAGGACAAAAGCCAGTAGGCACACACAAATGTTCTTCATCACTTAGTGTCAGAGCAATGCAAATCAAAAGTGAAATGAGTTACCACTTCACAGTTGTGAGAATGACCCATAACAATAAGGACAATAAGTCTTGGTGAGGATGTAGGGAATAGGAACTTTTGTTCACTGTTGGTAAGAATATAGACTGGTCCAGCCAGTATAGCAGAGAGTAGAGCTTTCTCAAAATATTAAAACTGGATTTATCACATGACTAATAATTCCACCCTACATGTCTATCTGAAGAATGCAAAAATACTAATTTGAAGGATGTAGTATGTAGACACAATGGAATACTATTCAGCTATTTAAAAAAAAAAAAGTAAACTCTTGCTCTTTGCAACAACATGGGTGGGGTGGAATTATGCTAAGTAAAATAAATAATGCTTAGACCCTGTAATAACTTCTGTCTCTAAATACCTAAAATCTTTTCCATATTCTTGAAAAATATTGACAGATATAGTAGTTAGCAATCTGAACTAAAATGTTATGAGAATTAAAAAATAAGTAAGAACAGGCACTGGCCTAGACGTTGGATGCCAGGTGATGGGGAAAATAATATCAGATAATAGAACAGTAGAGATCTTTAATCTACACTTATGTGATGGCACAAGTGCCATCTGCTATAACTTGGAAGCAGGAGCATATGCTTAATGAGTTTGTTGCTCTAGGGAAACAGATTGAAAAACAGAATGTTAGAAGTGTGTATTCAGCACTATGGCTTCATTTGAGAGGGTGGGGAAATGGGGAAGGAAAGGTTAACTTGGGGAAAAACTGACCAGTGTACAAGGAAAAAAGAAAAGTACAGAAATTCAGACCTTCAGACTTTTCTATGGGTAATGAAGCTGATTGCTTTCAGAACTTCAAACTATAAGAGAAGGATTTGAAAAGGTTTTGAGTAACAAAGACCCAGGAAACCTTTTCAGGAGAATAACACAAAAGAGATTTAGGTCAAATATCTAATCAATGGTGTAGCTTTCTTACCAGATTTGAGTTGACCGGGCTATCAACCACTTTATAAATAACAATATGAGAAGTGATCATTTTTACTGTCAAGTAAGGCTATATTCAACCACTTCCACCCAAGCAAAAATCTCCCTGCTATCTCTTACCCTTCCACGGCAACAATCAAGCCCACATTTTGAAGATAACATTGTCATTGCCTCATTAAATAAAAGGAAACTGCATGCCTTAGTTACAGCTTAGAGGAGTTACCTGACTCACATTAGACTATAATATAGGGGAGAACTAAAGCTTTGCTCTGTTAAGACACTGGGACTGCAGAGTTTATTTGGTATTGCATCAGAGTCTAGTCTACAGTAATAAACCTCCTATTA